CTACGAAAACTATATTGGCCGTCACTAACCAGCTGGTGATCCTCAAGGTACCGCATGAGCTGGCAGTTTATAATGAATTCCATTATTTTGGAGAACAAGGAGGTGATGGCGATAGGCCTGTTGTTGACGGGTCTGAGCAGTCGCCTTTTTTTGGGATCGGGTGCAGATATGCCGGAAAAGATGCATTAGAATCGGTGCCAATTCCGGAGCACACGTCCTCAGCACAATTAGGGGGATTTTGTCAGGCCCACTCGAAAGTAGTGCTTTGCGAACCGACCGCTGTGTGAACTGCACATCCAGCATGGAGTACTCACACCGCGGAATGGTCGGCGGTGTGTTTCCTCCGTCATCGAGAGTCGAGTTGAACGCAAAGAAAGAGCCTAGCAGATCGGCTTTCTCCTTTGCGGCATGGTTTAGTGAGTCGTCCTCTCTGTGCATAGATGGAAGAGATGACTAACAGAAGTTCCCTTGGACAGTCTTGGCGAGAAGCTAGAATTCACCGATTCCCGAAAAAAAGCGGACTAGTTTCTCACCAATTCTGCTTATATGCTCTGACTTTGCCTTGGTAATGACTCTTTTGAAGGACCTGGAGGCGGAATTATACTTCTTTTTAAGGACGCAGGTGTTTACATCCTGGAACGTTGATGCGTCAATCCAAGTCCGGTAGAGCTCTTGCTTGTAGTGTGATGCTATTTTACAGGAGCGACTAAACCATGGCTGAAATCTGTCTCCGATGGGCACCACAGAGGAAGAAATAAAAAGTTACATACCCTGAAGTACCACATCAGCATCAGAATTAGCAACAGCGTAGGGATCGTTCAGCGAGAAGCTAACCCGTCCCCAAGGGGGTAGGATGCAAAGAATGATCGCGTCCCATTTCAATCGGCCAACCAATAGTGCCAAAAACAGCGGCAGCCTGCAGAATGCAACCGCGATTTCAGCGTGAGTGGCACAACACTCCGGACTAGACAATGGTCCGAGAAGCCAAGAGGGGTGACGATGGATATCTGATATCTGTCTGGATGAGAGGTCAGCAGAAGGTCCAACAGGGAAGGTGCATGATCCTCCACATCTGGAATCCGCGTAGGCGAAGTAACCAGTTGTGTCAGACCATATGCCATGACAAAATCATGACAGATCTCCCCGCATGATCGGTTAAACGTGAACCAAGCCAGAGAATTCGTCAAGGAACACGATCTCTGCGGATGGAACCTGTTATAGCAATGAATCTGTAGCCATTTGGATGTGGTCGATGAGTTGGTCTGTATCGGTGTTACCGCTATGAGGCCTATAGAGGGACCCCTAGACGCGCAGATGATCGTCACTGTCCACGCATAGCCAAAGGATGGACAGGTCCGAAGCTTCAAAAATACCGAGGCGTCGAGACCAGATGTACTCTCTATACGCAAACTCCAGCCCGAGGCAAAAAAGAGTGTTCCAATTTGTACCCCGGGTAGGAGAGATAGGAAGTAGTCGTAGATGCCACCTGCACTCGGTCAAAAAGAGCAATGCCAGCTTTGCCGTCTCGAGATGGTAGTGGACGGTGTTTAGGTTCGAGTGAAGTCCCCTCATGTTGAAGAAATTCACGAATAGCGTGGCAGGGGTCGCCTTGGTCTTGCCTTCGCAAAACACGTTCGTGTTTCGCAAAGGTCCATAGTTCAATGATACGTGGTAGTGCCACGCTGCTGCTCTATTATGATTAAAGCTTGAATGGGTCGACTCTAAAGTACCACGCTCTCACAGAATATTAGCGTAAAATAGCAGTTTAATGCTGTTATATTTCGTATGGTGAGTGTAGAGAACTGGAGACCCTTTTTACTGGAAACGAGGCATCCCATCTCAGTCTTCAGGGGTGATAGCGCACCAGCATTTTCAATCACACAGTCACATCGTCCACTTACGATCAGGTCGACTGTGTGCTCGTTTGTCACTTTTATTCTATAAAAAAAAACATTCGCAATATCTGCAACTGAGCCAAATTCGCTTCTAGCCGCCTCCATCCGCTAGTCCGGTGGTATCAGCGAAATTATAATCTGCACAGGGATTGCGAACTTTTGTCAATCCCTGAATATTTCAAGAAAATGTCGCAGCGCTATTTTAAAGACGCTATAAATGAACCCACTAGAGGAAATAACTGTATTACCACAAACAAACAAGCTACGGATGTTTCAATACCGCTTCATCTTTTTGATCGCACTATTGCCCAATTATTGTCATTTCCAGTCGAAAATCACCATAGAACACAATACAGGTTTTTACTCGGGAGAGACAAAACAACAAACAAGACAAAATCTTCTCAAGTTTCGTGGGTACTTACAGTCACTATCTTTCTCCGATGTCTACAAAGTGAGAAACATAAATGAATCATTCAGTCGATTCTATGATCTCTTTTGCACACTTTATGAATCTTGCTTTCCTTAATTAAAAGTAAAATTACCAATAAAAATTCAAAGCTGAAAAAAATCTCCAAGGGCTATAAAGTTTGCATAAAAAGTAAAAGATCATTGCGTTTCAAGTATTAGAAACACAAAACTACCGAGGATGTAGATGTTTACTTGAGTTATTCAAAAAAGTGCCTAACAAATGCATATCAATATCCCAAAAAAGTTGCAATAAAAAGTATCTCCAGAACAATCAGAATATTTGTAGAGCTTCAAGGAAACTTATCAAAGATGTAACGGAAAGCAAACTTCCAAAAAATTACATTACAAATATATAAAATATGAAACAGTATAATAACAAATGGGAAAAACAGCTCAACTGTTTAATGAATATTACGTAAACTTGACTAATTAAAGGTATACATATATATGATAGTTATAAATAGCAAACCAACGATCAATCAACGATCGGTCATATATCAAATTTATTTTTTCCTGAATCGGAGAGTTCAACAGAAACTACTCGTATTATCAGTTCATTTAAAAAATCTCATGTGGTTATTATGAAGTCTCACCAAGTCTTGAAATTCTTTAAAAATGAACTAGCCCAGGTATTAAAATTCCTAATTAATCTATCCTTTGAAACTGGATGCTTCCCCGAGGCGCTTAAATTATCGATCGTGAAACCTATTAAAAAAACCGAATTAATCTGAAACCGGTAACTGCTGCCCAGTTACATTAATATCGGTGCTATCCAAGGTATTTGAAAAAATCATGCAAAAAAGACTACTTGACTATTTAACAAAATTCAAAATCATTACACCGGAGCCAAACAAGCTCCAAAAGGGAAAGTCAACTATTTTTTTTTCGATATACCTAAGGTGTTCCAGTTTGTAGTTCACAATTTTCTGTTGAATAAACTAGAAAAAAGTGGAATCTTTCTCACTCTTAACTTAAAACATATCTAGAAAATAGAGATCAGCGTGTAGAAACAAATAGGAGAGGGAAAGAAAGGAACAGGAGAAATACGACTACATCCGATTGTTCAAATTATAAAATAAATAAGTTTGGAATACCACTACCTTTTGGTAACGTTACGTACGTTTTAGGTCCTATATTATTCCTTTTATATATAACTTACCGCGAGTGTTTAAACATTATTAATTATTATAGTACATAATGTCTTACCAGGTCGTCACTCCATCTCGTGGGGGGACGCCCTACACTTCGCCTACCGGTACGAGGCTGCCACTCGAGAACCTTTCTTCCCCATCGGTTGTCGGTTCTTCGAGCTATATGGCCGGCCCACTGCCACTTCAGCTTACTAATCCGTTGGGCTATGTCGGTTACTCTGGTTCTACTGCGGATATCCTCATTCCTAAGTTTATCACGCAGAGAAACTCCGAGCATTCATCGACTTCCTGCATATAAGACATGCAGGAAGTCGATGGATGCAGGTGGCTCAGGACCGTGCTTTGTGGCATTCTTTGGGGGAGGCCTATGTTCAGCAGTGGACTTGAAAGGGCTGTAATGATGATAATGATGATGATGATGATAGTACATAATGTTTGCTGGTAACATTTCTATTATTGTTAAATCAAACAATCATGACAATTTAAATATTTATGAAAATTACATTAATAACACAATTAATAATAGCTCAAAATCTTAAAACAATTATGTGATCTAAATGTGAATCTGAATAAAACTAATTTTAGTACTAACACCAGCATAAAATAGTAGCAATAACAAATTAATGCTGCTGTGTTTCTGTGTCTGTGTTTAATGATGAGTATAGAGAACCGGAACTCGTTTTTACTGGAAACGAGGCATTCCATCTCAGTCGATGATAGATGTAGATATCTATGACCCACAGTATCCACTTACCATCAGATGGACTGTGGGCTTATATGTTACGTATATTCTATAAAAAATTGACCACATGTTTGTATACGAATGGAGAAATGTAGCCATTAACATGATATTTAAAGGCCGTTTCTTTAATACAACGAATAACGAAAGTAGTGGTCAATCTACATTTATCTAACACTAGCTGTGCCCCGCAACTTCGCGTGGAATTTTCTACGATTTCATTGATATCAATTTTTTTGCGCGGAACCCTAATTTTGTTTTTGAGTATTGTCACCATCTTATAAATATTGACATTAATATTTATACGATACTAACGTCACTCAATTCTTTTGACTTCCCGAAACCCCTCCACTAACAATTAAACTTTATGGTATGATATTAAAGTTCAAATTGACTTTTAAGTATTATTATGAATCTTCTGTATGGGAATATAGAAAAGTGTTGTTTTTAGACTTTTTCAGGCAATTTTTAAATTTTTCTCTCCGTAAGAACCATCTTCGTACTTCAAGGAATATTATAAAAAAAGATAGCGAAATCGGTTCAGCTGCTCTCGAGATTTGCGCTTAGCAACACATTCAGCGATTCATTTTTATATTATAGATTTTTAAGCGTTATATAAAGCATTATATCTATGCTAGAGTCTACGATACGCAGTAATTAAATTAAACACCAAATACTTTCAGTAATACAGAGCTTGGCGAAACCTTTCAGTGTATTCTAGTGTAGACCGCTAAGTGCGACTTTGAAATGGTAGACGGTAAGTAGTTATTCATTTGTACATAAAAGTAATATGTCTTTTTTAAATCGTATTATAATACATAAGAATAACGTTACAAAAATTATTTAAATTCTAATTAAATTGAGACAGTGAAGAATATAACAAAAATATCTTTATTAATTCTTAGACGCGTTGAATATATTTTAAGAGGTTAATAAAATATTTGTTTATTGTTAAATATTTAAATTTATATATATATATATATATATATATATATATATATATATATATATATATATATTATTTTTTTTAATTACCTACTACTATTACGACGGGCATGTTTTAATAACTTAAGTTACAAGCTGCTGAGGCCATCGATCAACGGTTGTGTCCATTGACAATAGCATTTTGAAAGATTAATCAGCAAGATTTGACTGCATCATACAGAATCATAGAGTGAGGGGTATTCAAGTATTCTGGATGGCGCTATCTAGTGTAGATAATATAATTATTTAAATTAGAAATACAAGAATTTTCATTACTAACATTATTTTTAAGGTAAAACTTGTTTTTAACATTAACTAACACAATATTATGAATTACTAACACAATTAGCAAGCAGACTTAGTTCTGCAGCATTTGCTGTAAAAAGATTAGAAATCTTACCAGTGTAGAAACATCTAGACTTGTTTACTTTAGCTATTTCCATTGCATAATTTCGTATAGTATTTTGTTATGGGGACACGTGACTGGCACTGAAATTATATTTGTTTTACAGAAGAGCGCCATAAGAGCAATCTATGATTTTAAACCGAAAGAGTCGCTCCGACAAAATTTAAGGATATTAATATATTAACTTTGGCCTCTCAATACATTTATGAAAATGTAATTTATGTACAAAAAAATAAAAATAGTTATACAAAAATAAGTGATATTCATTCTGTAAATTCTAGGAACAGACACAAGCTAGTAGTACCAGTTACTCGACTCCATCGAGTCAGTAATTCATTCTTGGGTCGATGTATTTACAGCAAAGGCTTTTACAGCAAAATCCCAGAAAATATACAAAATTTGACTTGCTCAAAGTTCAAAAACTTTATTAAACAAAGTGTGTATAAATAGAGTTGTTATATTATTAAGAAATGTATGGATGATAATAACCCCTGGGAATGAGGTGATCGTTACCAAGCTATTTCTAATTTGTTTTGTGTGGTTAATTGTGTAACATACATGATTGTAAGCTGTTATTTAAAAAAAGTCCCGCTGGGTTTCTTGCTGGTTCTTCCCAGAACAGAGGTTTTTTATCGAACCAGTGGTAATTAAACAAAATAGTGACTTTCAATAAGTATTATTTATAATCTATATTAAATAAAAAAGTTTCTGTTTCTGTTTCTATACTCTTATTTATTATTTAAGGGTTTTAAATACTATTCTCATCTGGTTAGAATGTATAAATATATATAAAATAAAAATAACATAAATAAGTTATTATAATTATTAATAATAATTAAAAAAGGCAGTAATAAAAAATCTTCTTACAGCTGTGGATCCAGGTGTTGTAAAGTCAGGGGCTTACAAATACGAAGACGGCACCCGGTACATTGGCGAATGGAACACGAAGGGCCAGAAACATGGCATGGGTCATCTTCTTCTGCCAGATGGAACAAGATACGATGGTTGTTTGGCGGGTGGCATGTGTTCCGGCTTAGGAGTAATGGCGTTTCCTGACGGTGCAAAGTAATTACTTTTTATAAAATTTTGTGATTAAAATTTTACCATTACATCCTTAATAATAAACATTGTAATATTTATACTTATGTATGTTTTAGATAAAATCTGCTTAGCAAAATTCTATTTACGCTTATATCCCAAAATATGTTACATGGCCTATGTACGTACCACTGCTGGGCACAGGCCTCCTCTCATTTCTTAGATGGTTTTAGGGCAAACAAGTGTCCGCCGCGCTGCCCCAATGCTTGTTGGTGAACTTCACATGTCTTCGAAATATTTTTTTTTCTTATTTCTTAAATATGCAGGTTTCCATACGATGTTTTCTTTCACCACCAAACTTTTGGTAAATCTATATATGTATCACAATATGCATGTTGATTTTAGTAATAACGGGGTAGCCTTTTGGTCAGAGTTATAAGTGGAAGGGCCTGGGCTTGTATTGTTACATCGGCCATTACACAATTACGAATTGCTGCCGTGAAATAAATCTATCACCTCATTTTTTCTGTGGGTGATTTATGGGGTGTTTATGAGAAATTCTAAAACGCTAAAAATGTTGTGAGTGATAATAATTGTTGCCATATAGTGGCAACGTAAGAGATTAAAAACTACCCCTATATCACACCATGAGTGTCTTAAACGGTGACAGAGGGAAATGTAATAGAAGACTGGCAGTATCACCGAATAAGAATTAGAAAATAAAAAATTGCAGTTGCCAATTCGCCTACCTAGCGTGGCAACTTTGGGCAACATCCTCCCATGAGCAACGACATAAAGAAACGGCTTCCAGTCCCTGGCGGCTCTGCTATGGAGGATGCAGGAGATTATAATAATCTCCGGTGGATGTTCGGTAGCTATCTTCGACGACCGATGACCTGGCATCACGAAAACCGCAAAGCTAAACCATGAAATGAAAAACTAACCAGAATATCCTTGAGCTGAAAGAAGATATATACTATTTGCGCTGGGATATTATACAATTATCTGAAGTCCGAAGAGAGAGTTGGACACGGTAATCCTTGAATCCTGCAACTTTCACCGAAAGGGCAGCCTGTCCAAGCGTTGCAACTAAGGAAAATTTCTCTTTATGCTTCAATCTATGGAGAAAGATTCAGAGACTAGAAAGACTATGTTCAATTGTTGTAATGGAATGGTTGTAATTAGTTGGCAAGAAGTTATATTTAAGTTAAAAATAAAGCGTGCTCTTTGGATTTTATAAGCCGACTTAAAAACGAGGACGTTCTTAATTCGACTGCAATAAATTTATTTCTATATATAGTATATATAACGAAATATCTTCGCAAATTGTAAGTTGATGTAATTTTTCTTATTTTATTAAACTAATGCTACCACAAGGGCATATCCTGAAATGGAGCCACCATTTAAAAATCTTATCTTCAACGTTGGGAAAATTAGAGTATTAAATGTTACTAATCAGACGATTTTGTAGTAAATACCTTGAGCTTATGATATTGCTTAGTCTATTTAAAAAGGTCTATATATTATTTTTAAAAACAATTTTAAAGGACTTCTGAAGTTTTTATTCGCACGAAGTTCCTTATCGGACGGTGCGAATTTGGCGGATGGAGGCTAGGCGAGAAAAAGTGTAAGATTTTTCCGTCACGACCCCTTCTGGCGGCTATAAGGAAGCGAGATGGAATAATATCGATCTTCCTCGCCCTTTTTCTTATCTTGTTGTGAAATAAATATTATTTTATTTTAAATTATGCTTCATTTTAATAGACGCTAGTAATTCATTTATTTGTATTTGTTAATCAATAACATAATACGTTTATCAAAAATAATATACTACGAAAGGAACTTCGTTCCAACCGAGTGTTCCACGACACTCATGGATGCTTTTTTTGTTAGGAGTTTTTGAATTCTTTATTCCTTTAATACATTATGTATTAGCAACGAATTCAGAAAAACAGATGTTTTTCTATTTATTTTATCTTACATTTGGAAGTCGGTGTTTTACTTTTATTAAAAGTTTAATTTAATAATCTCATTTCGAGAGCTGCTGCAGCTTGGCTTTATCACATATAATAAATGTTGTGAATAGAATATGATTATACTGCCAGCTATGGAGGCCAAAAGATATTCTGTGGTCTCCGACAGATTGTGGCGACGATGGCATGGTATCGTATTTTCTCAACGCTAACAACAGTCAGTCCACTTGATGATAAGTGGCTAGGGAGTTTTGGCGGGAACTTGACCGGCGACAGATTGCTGCTACCGCAGTTCATGGACACCCACCTTTACATAAAGACCACCAACTTTAAAATACAGAAGAGTATAGTTGAGTTATCACCTCTGAGGACTAAGATGAGATGCCTGAAAGCTTGTAGTTATAATGGTTCTACACCCTTTAGACTGAAACACAGCAGTGCAAGCTCTGCTATCATGAAATATAAATATATGTATATGTAATATAGATGTATAAAGGTGGTACCTACAAGACGGATTTCTAAGCAGCAATGAATAACCTCATAACAAGTAAACGTCACCTGATTTATTAATTTTTTTTAAAGAAAATAAGATTTTTTAAGTCAAATAATAAAATTACTTATCAACAAAATTATTACAAAGTTGGATTACGGCTTAGCTTTCCATTGACTTCAGTCGAGTTGGGTGTTGATACGTATTTTTACAGAAAACTTACTATAAGCACACACACAAAGTTTCAACATGCGAAAACGCGTAATTTTTGAGAAAAAATTATTGAAAATCAATTATTCTTGCAATGTTTATATCTAATTCTACTGTAAAACTGGCGCCATTTTGTAATGTCATTGTCGACGTCAATAGGGATGTCGATTCTTTCCGAAAAAGGTCGATTTTTAAATCGATTCAAATCGTAAGCTGATGTATCGGTTCACAAAATTCGATTTCTAAAATATCTATATTTTTTTATGTTTCTATTTATAATGTAAATATAAACCCATTTTATGAAAGACAAGAAAGATACCATGATAAATGATCTCTTATTGAAATTTGTTTTATTTAATATGGCAGATAACAAATAAAGTAGGTTAGGTTCAACTTATGTCAAAGAACCGAATTGATTGACCCCGACTCCACCTGGTACGAGTCTGTCCTAACCCTAGAGTGGTTTTATAGAGCCGGAGGCGCGTAGGGGGAGCAGCCTCCGCCTGCTGTAACGAATAATCCTCGTCCGATGCCTACGATTTGTTACGCTAAGGTGTAGAGGCTGCTCTTCCCGCAGCGCCGGAGACGTAGCAGTCTCAAAATAGATACAGAAATCCTTCTGAATCAGTCACCTTATTTTTTTATGATGAAGGGGATTTTTTTCTCATAAAATGGATTTATATTTACATTATAAATGCAAACATGAAAAAATATCGATATTTTAGAAATCGATTGTTTGGGAATCGATACATCAGCTTACAATTCGAATCTATTTAAAAAATCGATCTTTTTCGGAAAGAATCGACATCCCTACTGACAATAATAATAAAAATGGCGTCAGTTTCACGGTAGCAATTGACTAAATATTGCAAAATTATTTGATTAACAATATTTTTTTCTCAATAAGTACGTGTTTCCGCATATTGAAACTTTGTGTGTGTGCTTATAAAAATGTAATCTCTCTGTAAAATACGTATCAACACCAAACTCGACTGACGTCAATGGAAAGTCGTACCTGGATTACTTTATTAAAATAATTTTGCTCTGGGTTGATGTGCACTCTTGTATCATAAAATGAAAACATATTAAGTTTTTCTACATTATTTTTTGTAAAATCTTACGAATATTCTGTATAAAATTAAGGTTTTAGCTTTTTATGTTGCTTTTGGTCCAAATATATTTATTATACTTACAATATTGATTACTACATACTTGTGAACAGGAGTTCTAGACGGATTTGCTTGACGTTGTTGTTTACTTATAACATTGGTTCAAAACTTTTACAAATAATTGTTCAAATAATAGAAAATATTTACACATTTACATTATTTTTTATTTTTAACCGTTTTCATTCGTTTTCGATTAAATGACACATTGATAAAATGAATAAAAATAACTGATAATAAAACTAATAAAATTTTACATTCTAAGGAAAAGGCAAAATGTGTAGAAGAATTAAATTCACATTAAAAACTTTTCCTCCTATTTGTTACCTTTAGGGATAAAATTTGTTCTCCAATTTATATGGGACCATCCCTGAAGAACAAACTATTTAATAAAAAGAATTGCCAAACTCGGTTATCAATTGAAGAAGATAAAATCTCGTAACATACATACAAACAAGTGGTGAAATTAAAAATTTTGTACAACCGACTTCAATATAAATTACTAAGAATAACTCAAAAACTTTAGGTCAAACCTTGATCAAATTTATATGGGACCAACCTTTCAAATAAAAAAAGAATCATTGAAATTGGTTCTTCCAGTAAAATGTTATAAGATAACACACAAGAAAAAACATACAGTTGAATTGAGTACCATGTCCTTTTTGAAGTCGGTAGAAAATGGTAAGGCAAGTGTATATACCCTAACCTATTGCGGCGCTATTTTATATTTCTTATTATTAGATACATTTATTAATGGACTATGATTATATTATTTTTTTAATTTTCATTAAACACATTGAGAACACATTCCAAGTTGCCTGTTTGCTAGCTTAGAAATTATTTATTATATAAATTAGTACAGCTTAAACGAACCAATTCACGGTCAAACTAGGAAAAAAATTAATAAAGCGGAATTATTTGCACGCATATCTTATCAAGGCATTCCTACGGGAGCGGCCAGCGCGGACGCGTGCCGCCCCAAATTACTCCTATTATTTTATAATTCCTCCATTCATTCGTTACGTTTTGAATGTTAATGACATTACCCAGCTTTTTTCACCGCAGGATATTCTATCTCCTATTTGCTACCTTAAGGGATAAAATTTGTTCTCCAATTTGTATGGCACCATCCCTGAAGAACAAACTATTTAATAAAAAGAATCGTCAAATTCGGTTATCAATTGACGAAGATAATACCTCATAACATACAAACAAGTGGTAAAATTTAAAATTTTGTACAACCGACTTCATTATAAACTACTAAGGTTGACTCAAAAACTACTGGTCAGACTTTGATCAAATTTATATGGAACCACATGAGACCAGCTTTCAAATAAAAAAAGAATACGCAAAATAGATTGGATCAATCTATTTTGCGTAAATTATATTAATAAATTTATCGTAATTGTGTGCTTAAAGTCCGTTCTGCAGACATATTGTCATCTACGTTTCGTTACGTGGTAGAGCCGTGCTGCAGCTATATTAGTAGTATAGTTGTAACACGAATGGGTCAGCTCGACCGGGGAAGGACCACGCTCTCACAGAAAACCAGCGTAAAATAGCAGCTTAACGCTGCTATGTTTCGTGTGGTGAGTGTAGAGGAGAACCGGAGACCCTATTTACTGGCAAAGAGGCATTCCATCTTAGTCCTCACGGGTGATAACGCATCTGCATCTTGAGTCTTTATTAAGGATAGATATAGATTTCTATGGGTCATAGTAACTACTTGCTATCAGTTGGAGGGTGTGCTCGTTTGTCACCCTATCCTATAAAAAAAATCTAGGGAAGTAGGCAGAGAATACGGACTTCCATTTGGCGAGATCTTGACACTGCACTCTCGCTCCTTTCACGTCCAAATATCTACGCATACGTGCTTGTCGATTAATGGTACTCTTAATAATTTTAATATATTGCCAATTTGGTCCATAAACTTCGGTCTAGGGCGTCCCTTGACATCTCTGACGTATTATTTTATAAACTTAATTCCTATTTTTATTTTGTTCTATGTTATTATCTTTTATTTTCGTAATATCCAAATATATACAATACTAACTGACCAGGCAAACATTGTTCTGCATTTTCAATGACCGTTTGTCCTATAAAAAAATCGTTAAATTTGCAACAAAAAACATTGAGTGTCTCTTATCGGAATAAAAACTATCCTATCTCTCAACTTGGAGCAAGCTAAACTAGCAAAATTTTGTCAAATCGGTTTTTTGGTTTCGGAGATTACCGTGAACGAAACTCGTGAGACGTTTATTATTATTCATAATAGTACTATTAATTAAGTAATTATACATAATTTAACAGAAGGAGCAGCCAAACTAATTACGGGATGGCATGTGTCGAGAGAGGCATCATGCTCAGACCATAGATGGATCTGCTTCGCACTACAGGTCGATATCCCCTCTACACCACCATGGAGAAATCCCCGCAAGACAGATAAAACAAAATACCTAAATAGGCTGACGTCTTTGCTAGCGGATTTTGAGGGGATAAATACTATAGCAGATCAGTCGCTCCTAGAAGAACAGGTAGCAGCTGTTACTAAGGCCATGATAGACAGCTACCATGAATCATGTCCAGAAATCACTCCACCAAGACATGCCGAGGTAAAACAACCGTGGTGGGGTAAAGAACTCGATAGAAAACGTAAGAAGGTAAGAAAAGCTCTAAATAGGGCCATGAATACCTCAATGGATGAAGACTGGCTATTATATAAGAAAGCTAAGTCTGAATACAAAAAATGTATCAGGTATCGACGCTCGATTGGGTGGCGTAAATTCTGTGGCAACATAGAAACCTGCAAACAAGCAAATAGGATTAGGAATATTCTAGCTAAACAGAACACGTCGGGATCCATGTCTCTAAAGAAACCCGACGGTAGCTACTCAACATCGCCGGATGAAGCCCAACGCATCCTAATTGAAACGCACTTCCCAGGTTGCTGCGTAACCCAGGAGGCAAACCGGCATGACGACATACTGACATCAACAGCAGAAGACTGGAATTTAGCACAGAGAGTGGTAACGATAGACAAAATCCATTGGGCCATTCACAGTTTCCTCCCCTATAAGGCGGCAGGACCCGACGGCATATTCCCGGCACTCCTACAGTGGGGGGGTAAAGCCCTAATAGTCAGACTTGCTGCCATAATGCGAGCCTGTCTTGCTCTTAAATATCTTCCTAGGGGATGGAGGGAAGTGAAAGTTACATTCATACCCAAACCAGGTAAGAGCGACTACACTGACCCTAAATCCTACAGGCCCATTAGCCTCACATCCTTTCTCCTAAAGACGATGGAGAGGATGTGTGAAAGGGAATTAAGGGGGTCGGCGCTAATGAACTTACCACTACACGACAAGCAACACGCCTACAGTCTAGGCAAATCAACAGAATCGGCCCTTCATAAGGTAATTACAAAGATTGAAGAGGCCATCCAAAACAAAGAAATATGTCTAGGTTCCTTCATAGATATAGAAGGTGCTTTTGACCGAACGAACTTCTCCAGCATAAAAGGTGCACTCAGTAGACACAAAGTTGAACCGGCACTGATCGACTGGATAGTTTACATGCTCAGTACACGAATAATAAAGATTGCTGGTGAATCTCAACCAATCCAAATTAAGAAAGGCTGCCCGCAGGGTGGGGTTCTCTCACCTCTCCTGTGGAATATGGTCATTAATGAACTCATCAGCATATTAAATGACAATCACTTCTATACAGTAGGTTATGCTGATGACCTGACAATACTGGTCTCTGGAAAGACAGCAAGCATAGTGTGCGACCTGACCCAAGCGGCTCTCCGTATAGTGGAGAGATGGTGCAGGGAACACGACTTAACCGTCAATCCAAATAAAACGGTTTTAGTTATGTTCACACAAAAACGAAAGCTGAATAACTATCATCCTCCAAGTCTTTTTAGCACAAAACTCCAGCTATCCTCTGAGGTAAAATATTTAGGTCTTACCTTGGACAGCAAACTTAACTGGAATAAACACATAGAAAACAAAATCAACAAAGCTAGTATAACTTTCTGGCAATGCAGAAACATGATTGGCAAAAGATAGGGATTGACGCCAAAAATCATACTGTGGCTTTACAAAACTGTAATTCGGCCCATGATCACATACGGCGCTCTGGTATGGTGGACCAAGACAAATGAAGCCCCCATAATTAAAAAGCTTCAGCGCTACCAGAGACTGGCATGTATGGCTGCCACAGGCTGCATGAGAACTACGCCAACAGCAGCCTTAGAAGCGATGCTGGAGCTAACTCCGCTTCATCTACATATACAACAAGAAGCGACTTTAGCTGCCATCAGACTCAAGACCCTAAATCTTTGGAGTAAGAATAGTGTCCCTCATACAGGCATAATTGATAGAATTCACTCAAAAATTCCTATCCTACAAGCCAAATACGATAGGATTCCTAAACAATTTGTTTTCGATAAGAAATACAAGATACAGTTAAATGAAAACAGCCAGCCGGAAGGATTAAGCCCAAAAGAGCTTAGAATTTTCACCGATGGTTCTAAAACAAATGAAGGTGTAGGTTCTGGAGCTTTCTCTGAAGACCTCAATATTCACATATGCACACCGCTGGGTACCTATAACACGGTCTTTCAGGCGGAATGTATGGGTATCATTCAAGCGGCCATAGCAATAGATGCTAGGAAGGTTAATGACTTCCCCATCAGAATACTGACCGACAGTAGGGCGGTACTCCAAGCCCTGAGATGCAATGTGGTGAACTCGGGACTAATATATGAATGCCATCAACGATTAAATGAGGTATGTAAAAACAACAATGTGACCCTGCAATGGATAAAGGGACACAGTGGATCCAGAGGCAACGATGCAGCAGATGAACTGGCTAGAAGAGGATCGGCTTTGGCCACTATAGGGCCGGAACCAATCATACCAATCCCCTTTGGTAACATTTGTTCACTGGTACGTAGACACTTCACTAATCAACACGCTCAGCTTTGGAAAAATCTAGTAGACTGTAGACAAGCTAGGGATGCCCTGCCTGAAATTAACAGTCGCTTAACAAAAGTTTTAATGAGACTGAACAAGCCGCAGATTAGGATAGTAACAAGTGCTATCACAGGACACGGCACCTTTAACAAACATTTATTTACTATAGGTGTTACAGATAGTCCCCTGTGCAGGGCATGTATGGGGGAGGAAGAAACGGCGGCCCACGTGCTACTGAAATGTCCGGAGGTCGCTACATACAGGGCTAAACATCTCGGCACGCCGGGATCACTCCCCGAAGTTGCATGCAACATCAAGGACCTGTTGAGCTTCTTCGGAGAGATCTCATGGCTCGAATAATCACATTATTCCTGCCCACACGCAAAATACGCGCATAGACGTGGAGTTGCGGAAAACAGCCCGTCGTAAACTAAACTAACTAACTAACATAATACTTGCTCATTGAAATGCATTAAATTAGTTATAATTTTTACTATAAATAAGTACTAATAGTTATAGAGATGGTTATAATCATTATGGAGATGGTTAAAACTTCGTGAATGAAAGGTGTGCGAAGGAATTTGTTGTTAATAAAACGTAAACTTACGAAGTTTACGTAATTTTCAGGTACGAGGGGGAATTTATGCAGGGATGGTTCCACGGGCATGGAGTGTTCTGGAGGGCCGATGGTATGAAGTTCGAAGGGGAGTTTCGCGGCGGCCGCGTATGGGGTTTGGGTTTGTATAATTATGTATAATAAAGTAGAATTTACATAGCAGTCTTTGTAGTTGAGGGGTTAAAAGATCTAATAAGATCTAAAAAAAAGTGAATCTAAAAGATTCGCTGCGCAACAATAATCGAGCAACCCGGATCAATCCCCCTCCGTAAACCTTTCAAAAATGAGAGAGGTTTGTAGCTAGCTGTGGGCCTTCCTTTGCATAATAGCGCAAACTGAAAAAATTAAGCAATGCTCTCATTATTCTGATTTTCCATCTTTCTTGATGCATCTTAAAATAATTTCTCTCTGCAACTAGAAATATTTGTTGAATACATGTTCACGATATAATATACTAGATAGACAAATATAAGTCAAGGGCGGCCCGTCACTAGATGGAGTGACGACCTGTAAGAGATGCAAAAATTCCATGGATACAGATGGCTCAGATCCGTGAAGGAATTCCACTTCCTTGGACAAAGCCTATATTAAAATACATATTTTCATTAAATTTGCAAGATTTAAAAGAAGTCAAATTGTTACCTATAACAAAATTTTAAATTATGGCCTTGATTGAAATTTTTAATATTAATGACAATATGATGCCTCATATTGTAGTACTAATAATCGGTGATAGAGTTTAGTTATTTAGAGCAATCTCTTATCTGTTGTAAGGGAACCAATTGTTTGCTACACAAATTTGGGAGCAAGTTGTGAATTACGGTATATCCAAATGGGTCGATTTTTCTGTTATAATTTATGTCCACAAAACACTATTACTACTGACCTACGCACTGAATAGTAACAATTATGCTGGCGACGCAACTTACTACACCAATATGTCTCAACCCCAATCGTTTGGAGGTATTTCTGAACTGTTTGCAACGGCTCAAATTTTCAGTCACATATTTGAAGTAGGTAGAAATTTGTTCCATTATATATTATGAACGGTTTCGTCGGCAACTCCTTTAATGTTACACATTTCTGAATCTCCTTGTCCGTTGACACTAGTAAAGCTCCCAATAAGAACTATTTTCAAAAAGCTCATTCGGGAACGCTTCTTGAAAACATCAGCACCGACTAATTCATTACAATTATTACCAATGTTTATGTATTTATGTATATAAAATGAATAATAAATAATGAAAATGAATATGTGTACGTATATGAATGTATTTATGAATATATACAATGTTCATTTTCACATATTTTTACTAGCTTATTACCTGCGGTTTCGCTCGCTTGAACTTTTCGATTTAGGAACATTATTTATTTCGTATCAACATTTGTGTCTCTGTCTGTCACAGAATTTTTTTTATTGAATTTATAAGTTGTAGTGTTTATAAAATAATGTTGAATTTCAATTAATTTACGATATAATGTTTATTTGCGATATTTGATTCATATTATCATTAGCCATATTTATTATTGATTGACACATTAAGATAATTAATTCTCTTAATTCTCTAATTAAAGTAATTAATCTGGATATTTATTTTACATTCGTATAGACTTCAAAATTTCATAAATCTAATTAAATTCACGGTGAAGTGAGAAGAAATATATTTTCCTCATACCCATTATATTCGCCTTGTAGTGGCGACGAAAGAGAATACGCAATAATAAAAGCTGCGGTTGCCAACCTGCTTGCCAAGCGTGGCAACTACGGCAGAAATCCAGCCTATTAGACAATATATATGGGTGGCCTACGTTCAATTTAGTGAACTTTTGGAAGGCTGTTCTCTACTCATAGTTAAAATAAACAAGTGAATTTTTAATTAAATTTTGTACTAAAAAATATTAATATAGCAAGTTTGTTTTATATATAGGAAACATCATCCGATTCTGAGCTATGATCAAAATTTCAAATCTCTAGGTCATCGGGAAGTGCTCGAAATTTGACTTGCAAGATTCTATCCGGAACGACAGACAGACAGACAATAAAAACTGACTGACTTAATAAAAATGTGGTAAAATAAACCTGTGTTTAAGTGAAATCTGCTTTTTGTGCAACTACTCGTATTATATTTTTTTCGAAACCAGGACTGTCACAAAACTGTCAATATGTGAATTGAATCACAATCTGAAAATATGAAAGCTATCTTAATTGACAAACTGATTTATAAGTCTCATACATACATAAACTCAAGCCTGTCACCCAGAGGGGTAGGCAGAGACTATGGACTTCCATTTGGCACCATCCTGACACACCTCTCTCGCGTCCTCCACATCCATCCATATCCATATACCTACGCATACGCGTTCGTCGGTAAAGGGTACTCTTAATTTGGCCCATTTTCAATATATCGCCAATTTGGTCGATAAACTTTCGCTTATAATTGTGAATTGCCATACGTGTCTCATTAAAAGTAAAAACGAAAGTAGCAGCTAACATACGTCTTACGACTGTGCACAGGGCTCCTTATTTCCTATAGAGTATTGTGTGCTGAAAAGTGTATGCCGCAACGCTTCTGCGTATTAACGGTTCTCACATTTCTACTATTTTTTATCTACTCAGATATCTCTTTCCTACGAAACCATTCTTCACCACTTCACCGAACACGTAGCAAGTCAGCACATAAATTTTCCTATGACAGTTTCATTCGTCCTCTTATAACAGTATAGCTTGTAATTTTGCCAAACGTGGTAATTGCGGTAAATCATCTCGATAATTTCCACCTTTCTGGGTATTTTGGGTCTGATAAGTCTTGATGCTGCAAGAAAACCATTAGTAGCATTCTATTACTATATTTTTTCAGTTACTTATCATTTGTTTCTTTAGCAGTAAGTAGATGGCGCTGATATTAGATTATATAATGAAAGCCAAAACTGTACTATTAAGTTGGGCAAAGTCGCGAACACTTATAGTATACTAGCTGTGCCCCGCGGTTTCACCCGCGTATTATTACACTGTCCAAGCGAAGTCTGTAACAAAAAAGGGCCGTTCATGCATCTAAGCCGCGCGAAATGTCAGCTCGCTTATATATAGGCGTTCACTGCTGGTATCTTACGGATCTCATCGGGCGGCTAGGGTTTATCCGAGCAGTGTTTATTATATAAATTTTTCATTATCTCTTAAACTATGCGTCGAAATAACATGGTATAAAGAACAAAGTTTACCTTCATAAAATTGTCTTCATGATGAAGTAACTTTCGTTCGTAAGAATTTATATGCCATGCCTAATAATAACGCTCATAAATCACTTTTTAATTTTCAGTTATTTTTTGTCACAAAATACCTTATTGTGGCTTATGAACAAGAAATAGGCATATGGTAGCACGGACTCTTTTTAGGTGGAGCAAAGACCAATATTTTTGTAGAACATTGTATTTATGTAATACTAAACGTTACGCCAGCGCACGCGGATAAAGCAGTTAGAGAGCGCCTTTTCTTCCGACTTGCTTAACAAAAATCAATATTTAAGGCTAGCTGAGAGTTATATGCTAATGCTAGATAACCTATACTATTTCTCATGAATCTGGCTATTATATACAAAAAGAATTTTTCAAATCTGACTGGTAGTTCCAAAGATTAGAGCGTTTAAACAAACAAAAAAATCTTCCGCTTTATTATATTAATAAGTAAGATATATAAATTATGTAAAATGATGTGGATTCTCTTAAAAGAAAATTCTCTAAAAATGAGCTGTTAGCACCACTAGCATTGATTAATGAAATTATTTTATGATAGTACCATTCAGGAAATAGCAATGTGATGTTTTGTTGTTAATTTCGTCAAACGATCTCTATTCATTGATTTGTTCAAGCCATTTGTAAACAAACAGTGTTAAATTTCATGAAATGCTACCATTTCACGAAATTATCGACTACTTTATTATATTATGATCAATTCTAGGATCTGGCCACGACATATAAAATGTCTCTATAGTTAAACTATAAGAACAATGAGTTTTGCAGTAATCACACGCAGGCCATTTTGAATTTATTTATTTACATTTAGTAATATTAATTAAATTAAAATCATCTCTTTTTTCATTTTTTTAATAAATGTCATTATTATTTATTTAAACTATCGCTCTCTTAAAATGAAATAATGAAAAAACAAAAGAAAACGTTAGAAGTATCACATAATTTTACAAATCTATTTATTTAAACATACAAATGTGAGTTATTTAAATTATTTCATTTATTAGTAACTGTAGACAAAATATAGTACTTTTTCCATTTAACGAGCACGTTATATTATATTTGTAGGGGATAGAGCCATACTGCCGTCATTTTATGGTTGTAGCACGTATGGCTTGTCTTGACCGGGAAAGGACCACGCTCTCACAGGCATTCTCAGTTCTCAGGGGTGACAACGCATCTGCATTTTAATATTAATAGAAGATAGATGTCGATCGCTATGGGCTACAGCATCCAGTTACCATGCATCCTTTCACTATCAGGCGGTCTGTGTGCTTATTTTTAACCCGTATTCTCTTAACATTTTATAAATTAAATAATTGGTAATCAAAAATAATTTGTATTTTTCAACAAATGCTTGCTTCGGCTTGTATGTGAAACAAAGACATACTTTAGCGGTTGGGACACATAGTCGTTACCATATTGTGTTTATCTTACAGGGAAAGAGTATTTTTGTATTTACACACTTCACGATTATAGAATCACGATTTAAAAGCACAGAACATTAAAAAAAAAACCTGTGGGTAACCTGTGTGTAGTCTGAATTTTATTCAGAAATTTCGAATACGTAGAACTCAGCGCGCTGTGGAGAAGTTTGTGCTCGGATTTTCTCTGCGCGGCAGAACCCGTAACAATGGTATCTGCATTATAACTAAAGTAACCAATATTGCCTCCAGCGACCGGTACAACAGTGGCAGTCTTGTACCGGTCGCTGGAGTGTAAAGTAGCGCCTCCACTCAACAGGTCAACGAATACCACAATGTTCAGCAGTGGAATTGTGAAGGACTGTAATGATGATAATTATTCAGAAACAAAGAAATAGTATAATATTTTAACACGGAAAACAACGAGTATTTAAATATATGTGAGCGGATCGGGATATAAGGTTTCTATCAATTTTACAAATTGACAAAATCAAGAACCTTATTTCTGGATCAACCTTAGTAATTATTTAATGAACATCATAAAATTCAAATGATATATTATTAGTCAGATGAAACAAAAACAGTCATTTATTTTCAATATTATCCCTCTTCAAAAGTCTGCGTTCATAATTTAATCGCAGAATTATTGTTGCACAGTATATTTGGCATAATTTTACAGATTATTTCAAATTGAACAACATACGCCTACTGCCTATAGGTCTTCTCTCATTTTCAAGAAGGTTATAGAACAGAAATGGTAAGATTCTCTAACATGAAAGTTGATTCACGTGGTAAAGATAAATCAACACTTTTTACTGATAATGTCAATAGACTACAACATCCAACCTCGCAATCACGTGGACTGTGCGCTCGTTAGTCACATTTACTTCTTTAGAAAATTAATATTAATATAATTAGTATTATAAAAATTATCTACCAACTACTTCCAACTCCTGCTGATGATTATAATATAATAATTATGAATTTTCAGGATTAGTAACATTCAGCGATAGCAGCAACGGGTTCCCAAGGAATGAAGGTTTCTTTCAAGACTGTAAAATGGTCCGTCGTAAACGTTGCCCTGAGGTTGTTCAAAGGGCACAAAAAGTAGCTTATATGGCTCGAGCACAGTGTCAACAAGTGTAACTTGTAGCCACGGCTTCAATCTTGTAAAATGAATTTAAAAAAATGACTATTTAGGTCTCAAATATATATTGCGTGGTATTTATGTTTTTCAAGAGTTTAAGCAATGATATAATTTTAATTAACTTAAAATAACATCTGACATGCGCAAAATAAGCATATAATATTTTCATAGCATCTTTATATTATAAACATATAAGTACTATACTTCTGATTCTGACAGAAGAGGAGAGATGTATCTACCAATATCTATTATCATTAGAATCTTACGGGATGAGTTGAAAAACCCATACTATGCAACAACTCGACGAAAGTATCAGAATCCTTTCTTCATCTTCATTTTTATCTTTATTTAAAACATTACCTCCACCCTATTGACTGGAAAAGAGGCATTCTATCTTAGTACTTATGGCTGACAACGCATCTTCATTTTAATTCGCATACGAGGATAGGTTTAGATGTCTAAGGGCCACAGCAACCACTTACCATCAGGTGGACTGTGATCTCGTTTGTCACCCTAATTCTATAAAAATACCCTAGGATTTCCCCTGTTTCAATCAACATAAAATCTAGATATTAAATAGTTTAGCAAGCTAATTCTTTTCTGGATTATTTTTAAAGGTAAAGTTATTAAGTAGAATATGTTTCAAGTTATTATGTAACTTCATATCATTTAGATGTTTTAAAATGTAATAAAGGCTTAAAATATTCAAGAACGTTTACATGTTTAAATAAATCAAGGTTTGGCTTGACAGTTCTTTTACTCATTTTTACCTTAGTTTCAGTTCCCTAATTATTTACCCATGAATTCCGATATGACATGTTTTAGATATTTCCCTCATTTGATTTTTACAGGCTTAGGAATTTGATCATTTATAAAGAAATTTGAAATGACGTGGTAGAGCCATGCTGCAGCTATATTATTTGTAAATGTGCAGCTGGTAGGTTCCTGGAAGGGCCATGGAGCAAATGTTATGAACAATAAATCACATGTTCCTGAATTATTTTATTCTTTAGACATGCAGGTTTCCTTAACATGTTTTCCTTCGACGACGAGCTCGAGGTAAATCATTCATATGTGCCAGACGGGATCAAACTCGAGTTGTGGTGTACTGTAAAGTTATTGGGGTGCGCTATGCTCCTGAGCTAAAACTGTTACTAAATGTTATTAAATATATATGCGGCGCCGTGGCGCAGTGGCTTAGCAATGAGTTGCTGCGCTGGGGGCCGTGGGTTCGAATCCCGCACGGAACAAGTATTTGCATGGACTGCAAATAATTGTTCCGGGTCTGGATGTTTGTTCTTGTGCCATTTGTGTTTGTAAACTGCCTCCACGATACAGGAGAAAATCCTAGTGTGGACGTAACGTTTTTCTTTTTTAAGAATAAAAGGATAAAATAAAAAAATATATACAAATATTGCTTCAATTCTTCTCCTACGGTAACTTCCTTCAGTAGAAATCGGTGCAAACAATTGTGCATTATAATTCGCTATCAAGATTCATTAATTGGTTTCCTAATTTCATTCACAGAACACCGGCGTGAAGTAGAGGCTCTGCTTCTGCGTTTCGTCTGGTGAGTGCAGGTGGCCGGAGGCCCAATTCCCCCCCCCCCCCCCCCCCCCATCAACATGGTAGCGGAATTACAAAGTAGACTACCCCAGGAGGGTACCAGTACCCCTGGAGAATCCCTCGCTGAGCATCCACGACCATGTTATTCCAATCCTGAGCGTGGGTGCTCAGGCTGCCCCGCGTATTCTGGGGGGGGCAAAATTCCGCTCAAAAACAAAACTGCTTGGGGCAAACTGAGCAACAATACCAAGGCGACCCCTGCCACGCTATCCGTGAATTTCTGCAACATCAGGGGACTTCACTCTAACCTAAACGCCGTCCACTACCATCTCGAGACGGCGAAGCCGGCCTTGCTCTTTCTGACCGAGACGCAGGTTTCCTCTCCGGCTGATATTTCGTATCTCTCCTGCCCGGGGTACAAATTGGAGCACTCCTTTGTGCCTCGGGCTGGAGTTTGCGTGTATGTCAGAGAGGACATCTGTTCTCGACGCCTCGGCAGTCTTGAAGGTTCGGACCTGTCCATCCTTTGGCTACGCGTAGACAGCAACGACCATCCGCGCGTCTACGGGTGCCTCTATAGGTCCCATAGCGGTAATGCCGAAACAGACCGACTCATCGACCACGTCCAAATGGCTACAGATTCCTTGCTACAACAGGTCCCATCCGCAGAGATCGTGATCCTTGGCGATTTTAACGCCCACCATGCCGAATGGCTCGGTTCACGTTTAACCGATCATGCGGGGAGATCTGTTTATGACTTTGCTTTGGCATATGGTCTGACACAACTGGTTACTTCGCCTACGCGGATTCCAGATGTGGAGGATCATACACCTTCCCTGTTGGACCTTCTGCTGACCTCTCATCCGGACGGATATCAGGTTTCCGTCGATGCCCCTCTCGGCTCTTCAGACCATTGTCTGATCCGGAGTATGGTGCCACTCACGCTCCCTTCGCGGTTGCGTTCTGCAGGTTGCCGCCGTGTTTGGCATTACAGGTCGGCGGATTGGGACGGAATGCGGTCTTTCTTTGCATCCTACCCATGGGGGCGGGTTTGCTTCTCGCCGGATGATCCCAGCGCTGTTGCTGACTCTGTCACTGATGTGGTGCTACAGGGAATGGAACTATTTATTTCTTCATCTGTGGTACCCATCGGAGGCAGATCTCAGCCTTGGTTTGGTCGCTCCTGTAAGACTGCATTGCGCAGAAAGCAGGAGTGTTATCAAGCCTGGGCTGCGGCTTCGGTGACTCGGGATGTAAACACCAGCACACTTAAAAAGAAGTATAACTTCGCCTCCAGGTCCTTCAAAAGAGTTATTGCCAAGGCAAAGTCAGAGCACATAGGCAGAATTGGCGAGAAACTAGTTCGCCTTCCTTCGGGAACCCGTGCATTCTGGTCTCTCGCCAAGGCTGTCCAAGGGAATTTCTGTAAGCCATCACTACCATCTCTGCACAGGGAGGACGACTCACTGGCCCACGACGCAAAAGAGAAGGCCGACCTTTTAGGCTCCCTTTTTGCGTCCAACTCGACTGTTGATGACGGGGGGAACACACCGCCGACCATCCCGCGGTGTGAGTGCTCTATGCCGGATGTGCTATTCTCACAGCCCTCGGTTCGCAGAGCACTCCTCTCCCTTGACATCCACAAGTCGAGTGGGCCTGACGGAATCCCCCCAATTGTGCTGAGGACGTGTGCTCCGGAGTTGGCACCGGTTCTAACGCGTCTTTTCCGGTACTCCTACTCCCATGGCGTTGTCCCGAACTCATGGAAGACAGCTTTTGTCCACCCGATCCCTAAAAAAGGCGACCGCTCAGACCCGTCCAACTATAGGCCTATCGCGATCACCTCCTTGTTCTCCAAAATAATGGAATCCATTATTAACTGCCAGCTCATCCGGTACCTTGAGGATCACCAGCTGATCAGTGACCGCCAATACGGTTTTCGTCGGGGTCGATCAGCTGGTGATCTTCTAGTCTACCTGACCCATAGATGGGCGGAGGCAGTAGAGTCCAAGGGGGAGGCGTTGGCCGTTAGTCTGGACATTGCGAAGGCCTTCGTTCGGGTTTGGCACAAAGCGCTTCTTTCGAAGCTCCCTTCCTATGGGCTTCCCGAGAAATTGTGCAATTGGATCACCAGCTTCCTTGCAGATCGGAGCATCAAGGTCGTTGTAGACGGTGCATGTTCTGACTACAAGCCTATTAACGCTGGTGTTCCACAAGGCTGTGTGCTATCACCAACGCTGTTTCTTCTGCATATCAATGATATGTTGCTAACTGGTAACATTCATTGCTATGCGGATGACAGCACTGGTGATGCTCTATACACCGGCCGGGCCAATATTTCTCGGGAAAACGTCGCCGAGTACCGGAACAAACTTGTGTCTGAAGTCGAGTCTTTGCTGGACAAAGTCTCGGATTGGGGGCGACTAAATCTAGTCCAGTTTAATCCTCAGAAGACACAAGTTTGCGCGTTTACCGCTAAAAAGAACCCCTTTGTCGTATCTCCTCAGTTTCAAGGCACTCCCCTTCTTGCCTCAGCCAGTATCGGTATCCTCGGAGTCGACATATCGAGTGACGTGCAGTTTCGTGGTCACTTGGAAGAGAAGGCCAAATTGGCCTCTAAAAAGCTTGGCGTGCTCAGCAGAGCGGGACAGTATTTCATGCCGGCACACCGCCTGCAACTTTACAAGGCGCAGGTTCGGCCTCACATGGAATACTGTTCCCATCTCTGGGCAGGGGCTCCCCAGTGCCAGCTCCTTCCACTTGACCGCATCCAGCGCAGAGCGGCTCGAATCGTCGACGACCGAGCCCTTTTCGATCGGCTCGATTCATTGGCACTGCGAAGAGATGTTGCATCTCTTTGCATTTTCTTTCGCATCTACCATGGGGAGTGCTCTGAGGAATTGTTCGGATTAATCCCAGCCGCCAAATTTCATGAACGCACATCGCGGCAGAACTCCCGATACCATCCACACCATCTGGATGATTGGCGGTCCACCACTGTGCGATTTAGAAGATGTTTTCTTCCTCGCACGACTTCCTTGTGGAATCGATTACCATCAGCGATTTTTCCGGACCGATACGACTTAGGGACCTTCAAGAAAAGAGCCTACTCCTTTTTAAAAGGCCGGCAACGCATCTGCAATTCCCCTGGTGTTGCGGTTGTTCATGGGCGGCGGTAGTCACTTACCATCAGGTGAGCCGCATGCTCGTTCGCCCCCTCTCCTATAAAAAAAAAAAAAAAATTTTTTTGTTATTTAGTAAATAAGTTAATAAGAGTTAAGAATATAAGTTAAATAATAATCATAGTAATTTCAACAATAAAAATAGTTTATTTTATTTATGGTTTTAATAAATTAGATAATTAAGTTTTGTGTTTTATTGGTGTAGTAACATCGTAAAATTACGCAGAGAGCTTCATTGTTTAGATTTAAAC